TAGTAGTAGTAGTAGTAGTAGTAGTAGTAGTAGTAGTAGTAGTAGTAGTAGTAGTAGTAGTAGTATGTTGAAGATGCCCACTGTGGCAAAGCAAAGGCTAATAACTGCGTCAACCAAGCGTTGTTGTGGTACACTGTTGAACAAGCCGACAAGATCGTCATTGATGGCTGTGAGGTGGATGTCGCGCGGAGTGTTGTGGAAGTGAGTGTGGAGGTGTTTCCAAAGGTTGGGGGTGGATAGTTGGCCAGGGTGCTGAGGTAGTAGCTGCAAAAGCATGATGTCCAAAGCTTTTGACGTGGCTCGTAGTAGGGTGCCTGCGATGGACCGAAAATAATAGCTAACCACTGCGCCGTCCTTTCTCCAGACAACTCCGTGCGGCGTGTGAAATTGTTTGCGAAAGCCCCATGGATAGGCTCGCCGCGCGTGTGCCGAGAAGGAGTTGGTGCCTCATCTCAGGGCTGGACAGCACCAGGTATTCAAATTCCTTGGCTTCTGTCAGGATTGGAACACAAGTGTTGTTGCAATTTTGACCTTTTCGCAGGGTGTTTGTCTTTCAGGGCTGGACAGCCCCATGTTTTTTTCACCAAATTGTTTGTAGAATTCTAAAGTTCAAAAAACTCACATGAGCTCACATGAGCACCCATGAGCATCCATGAGCACCCATGGGCACCCATGAGCACCCATGAGCATCCATGAGCATCCATGAGCGCCCATGAGCACACATGAGCGCCCATGAGTATCTGTGAGCGCGCTTGTTTAATTTTGTTCGGGCTGGACGGCCCCAGTGTGCATGTTTGTATGTTTGTTCTGAATGCGCCTGGGATGCCTTCCAGGATGCCCTCACCTCCCTGACCACCTTGCTGAAGAAGCCCAAGCTCAAGACTCAAGAGGTGTCAATTGCAAGCTTTGAAGAAGCCAGACTAGGTACTGCCATCGACTGCAGGTTTGCAGGCGATGAAAAAGATGCTGCCCTGCCTAGCTCTGGAAAGGTTCAGTGTGCGTTTGTGTTTTGGGCTGGACAGCCCCAGTGTGCACTTGTTTTTGGGGCTGGACAGCCCCTGCCATCTGTTAATGTTTAAAATGTGTTTGAGCTGGACTCCACCGGGCGTCAATTTTGCATCTCATTGCCGTCAGGGCTGGACAGCCCCAGCTTTTAATCTCTTGGTGCAGCTTGTGGCATGGGGCTGCCATTTTCTTAGTTCAAGCCCCTAGGCAAGGGTGGCACCCATGGCTGGACAGCCAAAAGAGCGCATGGCCAAGAGGAGAAGAACCATGCCAGAATATGTGAAAGGTGCCAAGGCAGCAGTGAAGATGAGTGTCATGAAGGTGAAGCTGGCATTGAGGCTGAGCCCAATTTGTTGTACAGGCTGGACAGCCCCTGCATTGCATAGCATATTTGATGCGTGTGGAAATTAGAAAGTCTATACCGCAGAATGTGGAGCTAGATTGCAAAATATAGCAGGTCAGGTCTTTCAATCAGTTGCAAGTTTGGGCTGGACGAGCGCGTGCATGCGCAAGCCTCACGTTCTTAAAGTTTGGGCTGGATAGCCCCCATGCATGCATGGGCTGGAGAGCCCCTCAAAAGGGGGACCCTTTCAACATGGCTGCTTGGTCCAAAAGAAGAAGGACTGGACAGCCCATGGCAGATGACAGCCATAGCCCTTCACTGCAGCTGATACAAAAGTTTGCCATTTGGCCGCTTGACTGCAGGAGGTGGCTGACTGTGCCATCAAAAGCCAGAATGCACTGGACCTCCTGGCTCTACAAGGTCTTGGTGGGCATGGTTCCAGCCCACAGAACACTCGCAGAGACCTCATGAAAGAAATATTTCAGCCAGGTCAAGGCACCTAGCCAGAGGCTAGTGCCCAGAGATGAAGCCATTCTGGTGAGCTCTTGCCACAACCTGCAGCAGCGCCACTCCTGCTGCCACATGAGTGGGTGGAGACCCTCGACCAGTGGACTGCGTGGCTATATAGTTTTTGTTCACAAGGTTCACTTTTCGCACTGTGTCACCCACACTTTTCCCTCTTCCTGCAGGAATGGATTGCTGGAATCTGTCACTGCCAGCACAGAAGTGCTTCAGTCATTTTGGGCAAGCAAAGCAAAACTGCTGGGGTGTTGCTGGAGAAGCTTCAGCTGGCAAGAGGAACTGCCAATTCCATGGGCTGTCAATCATACGGTGAGATAGACTCACTCAGGGTCATCTCCATGAGGTGCATGCTGAGTGATGTTAGTGCGCAGCACTCACAGCTTTTCCTGCCCAGTGAATTGCAACTGCTGGGACTGTCCAGTCCTGAGGTGGGCCAGTGAATTTGAATAACTGGAGCTGTCCAGCCCTGAGATAAGAGCAGTGAATGGAATAACTGGGGCTGTCCAGCCCTGAGTGAATCTGAAATAAGGGCAGTAACTGGTGCTGTCCAGCCCTAAAAGGAAATGAGTGAGCAATTGACTCGACTAACTGGAGTGGAAAGCAGCAAGACCTGTTGCCTTCTTGCAGGCAGTGAGGTGTGTTGTATGGCCTCTTCAGGCCCTGTACTATAGTACAAGGAGTTGTGTGGCCCTTGCAGGCCCTGTGCTTTGGGCAAGGCAGTCCTGCCTCAAAGATCTTTACCAGACCTTGAGGTGAGGCATTCTTGCCGTCAGATCTTCAGCCCAGGCAGTATTGCCTTCAGGAACTCATTCAGAACGCTCGAGGCGCCCTCAGTGAACAAAGGAACTGTGTCTGGGGCTGTCCAGCCCTGAAAGAACAGTAGTGCACAGCTGGGGCTGTCCAGCCCTACAAAAAAGTTACAAAGCTGGGGCGGACAGCCTTGAAAGAATAGTGTACAGCCGAGGCTGTCCAGCCTTGGAAAATCAATTTACAGCCCTGAAGAAAAAGTTGCGCAGCCAAGAATCGAAGGCAACCTTGGCAATCACTGCCTCTGGGCCTGCTGGTCTTCTTCACATAGCAGTTTGGCAAGCATCGCCTCAAGGCTGTGGAAGCCATGAATGACATGTGCAACCTGGCTGACAGAAAGGAGCATGTGTGGTCATCACCCAAAAGCACCGCAAGCTAGCTTGCAGGTACATAGACCAGTGCCAATACCTGGCACCAAGGTTTACTTGGTGTTATGGTCCTGAATCATATATGAGCATGTGCATCAAGATCGCTGCAGCCGCAAAGGGAACAGGTGGCACAAAGCTGCCTGCAAAGGTGCTGCAGAAATTTGCACTCCGCTTCCATTTGCTCTTGAGTGGCCAACTCAACCTCAAAGAGGATGATACTGACTAGCTGGAAAGCTTGTGAAAAACATGCAATCAGGGCTGGATAGTCCTAGTGCTTTGAATTTGATCTGTGATCTTGCAGGGCTGGATATCCCCAGTGCCATGGTGGTCGCCGGCGCGGTGGGAAAGGTGCAGGTGGTGCAGTGGTAGTTTGTGGAAAGGTTTAGTGGTGTCGTTGCAGGGTGTTGTTGGTGTTGCGCCAAGGGATGGTGGTAGTGGTGTCGGATCGCATTGGTGAGTGGCAGCGGATGAGTAATACAGTTGCCACCGCTGCTGATGCGCATCCATGGTAGCAAAGCAAAAATCAGAATGTCCGATCGGCTTTTTGTTTGAGTGCTGGTGCATGGATGGCTTTAGCTGTGTTCCAGCCGCCAAGTGGCTGCTGTGGTGGATGAAGTGAAAGAGGTTGATGTTTTGGAGATTGAGTTGATGTTGTGGTGAGGCGTTGTGGTCTGATAGGAGGTGGGTGGGTATTTTGGTGGTGGTGCGGGTTGTGGTGGTGGTGGTGGGGGTGGTGGGTATTTTGCTGGATATTGTTTGGTAGTAATACTGTTCGCGTATGGATTAGAAGGTGTCGCGCTGTTTTGAAGTGCAAAGATGTCGTCACTTGTCTCCTCTGTAGGGCTGAGGTAGTCACGAGGAAGAGACTGTGGTGAGCGGTGCGATGGTGTGCGTGAGTGTGAGGGCGGTGAACTGTTGGCGCGTGTATGCGCCCTGCAGTGACTGATGGCTTGTGGTATGTGCAGGTGTAGGGGAGCAAGAGCGGTGTCCACGCTTCTTCTGTTTGTCTTTCTTGGCACGCCGACTGTGTTTGGATCGGTGAGATCTCGATCTTGAACTTAAGGGATCGTGAATGAGAGCGTGCTTGTCGGGAGTGGTGAGATTTGCTGGTGCGTTTTGTGCGACGATGCTGTCTGGAACGGTGACGGTGAGATCGCGTGGATCGACTAGCGCGTTTGTGGCGTTGACTGCTGTGACGCCTGTGGCGAGTGGTTGAGCGGGCGCGGTGTCGAGATCGAAGGGGAGCGTGTTGCGCGCCGGTAGTCCGGTTTGTGGTATGAGGAAGAGGTGATGGAGTACGAGATGGTGGGGCGCTGGAACGCGCAAAAGCAGTGGATGCGTGTTCCTTATTGTGAGTGCGCGTAGTGCGTTGGAGGTTGGAAGCAAGTTTCAGTATACGTGTCTGAAGCGATGGGCGGATGTGTTGGAGCTTGAGACACTGGTGGTAAAAAGCTTGTTGATGCTCGCGCGCTTTCTTCATTGCGGGTAGAAGGTCTTGTAGTTGTTTTGCACGGTGCGGCGTGGAGGGGCGCTGATAAAAGGTGGCTGTCTCGGATAGTTGTAGTTTCCTGCTGTCTCGTTCAAGAGATTCAGCTGGCGTACCATCAAGCAGTTTAAATTGTTATTGTCCTTGAGTTCGGCAATCGTCTACGCGTCAAGGGATTCTGCCACGTTGGCGCGAGGGAATCGAAGGCAGAAATCAGTCTGGAATTTGCGCCAAGTGGAAAAGGCTGCAGTGTCACGATAAATCAAGAGCTGAAACAAGCCATGGTGAAACGGTGAAGAGACAGCGAGTGAAACATCCGCGGAATCTATAACGCGGAAAAGACGCAATAAGAAACATTTTTCCGATCTATAGCTGGTGAAACTGGCGTGGTGTGGCCGAGTCTGTTGCGCATGGCATCAATTGATTCAATCGGTGTGAGACTTGACTTCGTGAGATGACAGCAACGGGTCTGTGAGGACCTCTGTTGGTCCTGTGGGAGGCGCTGAAGTCGTCGTGACTTGCTTTGCTTGAGGGGGTGGTGTCATCGTTGCTGCCTCGGCAGTTGGCTTGGCAAGCGAGGAGCTCTTGGGTGTAGCAGCAGTTGGAGATGCTGTACGTGACACTTGGAGAATGTTCAAGAAGAATCTGAAGTGTCTTCCAGCGTCCTTTGCAATCAAACTCAGGCTTGTTGAGTGCTTTGGCAACGTGCGTCCAGCTGGGTCGTAGTTTCTTGTTAGTTAAGCTTGAGCGCCCTTTTCCGCTGGCCATGTAGCATTTCTATTCATGTGTCTCCAGGTCTGTCACTGCTGGTGTCCGCCCTTTGCTGCTGGCCATGCAGCATGTCTATTCATTTGTCTCCCAGGTCTGTCACTGCTTGTGTCCGCCCTTTTCCGCTGGCAATCAACATTTCTATTCATCCCCCAAACAGTTTACTGTTAGGGTTCCCAATTCTTTCTTAAGATGTGTTCGTGTCACTGCTGGTGTCCGCCTGGTCCGCTGGCCATGCAGCGTTTCAATTCATCTCCCAGGTTTGGCGCCTGCTGCTGGTGTCCGACCTTTTCCCCTTTTTCCATTCCTTTGTCTCCCAGGTGATTTCTGCGCTTCGCCAAACAGGTTACTGTGAGGGGTTCTCAAGGCTTTCTAAGAGTGTCCGCCTTGCTGCGGGACAGCGTGACCGCCTTCCGCGTCTTGTCTGCCTTCTGTTTCCCTTTGTCTCCGTTCTTGTCACCCTTCTTGTTCGTCACTGTGTCCGGCTTGTCTTCCTTCTGTTTCCTTGAGTCTCCCTTCTTGCTCCCTTGTTGTCTCCCTTCATCCGCCTTGTCTTCCTTCTCGTCTCCCTTCTTGTGGGTCACTGTGTCCGCCTTGTCTCCCTTTTGCTTCCTTTTGTCTCCCTTCTTGTTGGTCATGCCTTGTCTCTCATCTGTCTCCCTTTGTCTCTGGTCTTGTCTCCCTTCTTGTTGGTCATTGTGTCCGCCTTTTCTCCCTTCTGTCTCACTTTGTCTCCGGTCTTGTCTCGCTTCTTGCTGGCCTTCTTGTCTCCCTTCTTGTTGGTGAACATATAATACGCTATTGGAGCTATTGGAGCTGGAATTACGCTATTGGAGCTGGAATTACCGCGGCTGCTGGCACCAGACTTGCCCTCCAATTGATACTCATAAAGGGATTTAAATTCTACTCATTCCAATTACAAGACATGGATGCCCTGTATTGTTATTTCTTGTCACTACCTCCCTGTATCAGGATTGGGTAATTTGCGCGCCTGCTGCCTTCCTTAGATGTGGTAGCCAATACCCTACCGTCGGAAGCTGATAGGTCAGAAACTTGAATGACGCATCGCCGGCAGAGCCGCGCGATTCGTCGAGTTATCATGAATCACCACATGACCAGGCGGAGCCTGGGTTAGTTCTGTATCTAATAAACACAACCCTTCTGCGAAGGTTATCCATGTAGCAGCGACCATCAAATAAACTATAACTGCTTTAATGAGCCATTCGCAGTTTCGCCATGTAAATGCTTATACTGAGACATGCATGGCTTAATCTTTGAGACAAGCATATGACTACTGGCAGGATCAACCAGGTTTCAACCTCACGCACGCTGCACTCAACAATGAGACAGCATGCGCGGTGGACATCACCACAACAGCTTAAGCCCAACACAGCTTACCATGCTGGAGCTGATCATTCTTCAACCAACAAACTGCTGTATGGGAAGAACCCATCAGTCACTCTGCAAGTTGCGCACTCAACTCTGCTATCAGCATCGTCTCAATTCTGCCTTCCTTCTGTTTCCTTCTTGTTTGTTATTGTGTCTGTCTTGTCTCCTTTCTCTTTCCTTTTGTCTCCCTTCTTGTCTCCCTTCTTGTTTGTCATTGTGTCCGTCTTGTCTCCCTTCTGATTCCTTTTCTCCCTTCTGGTCTTCCTTCTTGTTGATGTCTCAAAAAGTGGACTTGGGAATGCTTCGTAGTTGTCCCACCTGCTTGGGGCCTACGGTGGTGTAATTTGACAAACGCACGGTTCAGTTATCTTGAACGCCCCTGACAAAGACTTGCGCTTCGATTGCGCCGGATTGGTTTCGTGGGATCGAAGGTTGAAGGGCGGAACCAGCGTGCAGGTGATCAGCGCGGCGCCAGCTGCGCCATGGCTGTCGGTACAAATCATCGGGGCAGCTTTGTTCGAGGAAGGACGCTGCCCTCATATCATTTCCTTCGGAGGCAAGCCGGTGTAGCTCTCAACTCCACAAGCTAAAAATTGGAATTTTAAATTCACTTTTTCCTTTGGGGTGCCCGCTTGAACCGTCTCTGGTCTCCGCCTTCACCGTTCTCCATGTCGAAGAGGATGCCGTGACTCAGCTTGGTGGAGCGGCTGCTTTCTTTTTTGGCGCCCCTCGAAAAAAGAAAAGGTCTGCGTGAAGACTGGAGACTTGACTAGCTGGGAAGTCCAAGCCACGCATCTGACAAAAAACAGATTCTCTCGTTGTCATTAGAACAAGCCTGCCTTCCGTTGCATCGGTTTGAGTCTGCAAACACGCACTTGTCGCTTGTACCTCGATGTCATGAATGAAACCAGAATTTGAAACTTTTTGCCTTTCGGAACTGCGGCGTCGCTAAGATGGTCAGACCGCAATTACGTACTACCCTGCTTTACCCAAACAATTTTTTCACTTAGGCTTCTCCACAGCTTGGGGCGATCAATTCAGCGCGCATTTTCCCGAGTGTGTGTTCTAGAGCCTGGAAGCCTGCTTGTCAAGCGTCCCGAAGCAGCTTCTGGAAGCCACAAAATACGCTCCCCGAAAAGAGTTTAGCAGACCTAGGCCAAGAAGCTTGATGTTGAGGCTGGCAATGGCAAGCTTTTTGAAAAGTATTATTTGAGGCAGCCAGCTCCGCTTCAGGCTGCGGGCGGCTGCCACTTTCCAAAGTACGCTTCCGCAACGCACTTCCAAAGGCTCAAAGTTGTTGGCAAACGACGTGCTCAAGCGCCGATTTGCAAACGCAAAAACACTTGATGTGGAACAGTTCTGGCAGGGATTGAAGCGTTAAGATAAATGAACTCTGTCAATGTTGTATTGCTCCACGCGACCTCAGCAACTGTGACACAAGGAAGGTCCACCATCCCTAGCACCCGCAACCGATTTCGTCGTTCCCCCCGCGTTTTGTTCAATTGTTTTGACATTCTGTCCGCCCGCCCTGACGAACATCGCACTGTGTCCTGTTAGCTTGTATCGCCCGAGCCTCCCCATGATCCGCCCCATGCATTGGGTTCCTGCCAAAGAAAGTTTTCAACACACCTGCAAAAGACATGGACAGCCATGCCAAAAACATGTTTGCAACAAAAAACATGTAATGACATGTTTGACGCCCTTGCCAAAAACGACACATGAGAGATTAAAAGTAAACCGTGTTTCCCTTGAGCGATCCTTAGGAGAAACGGTCTTCAGGCCACTTTCAGGATCTGGTCTCTCCGTGTAAAGTTCCGGCGCAGCAATTTCTGCCGGAGACTCCTCGTGTGGAGCTACTCCGGGAACACCAGCTCCAAATGTGGTGCCTGCCTGCATAGCTGGCAAACTGCTTTGCGCAATTCAAGAAGCTTCGTCTCGCGCGTGTGTTGAACCACACCTCAGTCTCAGTGTCCTTCGAAAGAACCTTCAAAGCAGTCTCAGAGACTAGGGCCGCCAGAAGGTGGTAGAAGTGACTATAAGCGCCGCTTGCGCCTGAAGGTTTGCGCCGCTTGCGCTGACGCTTGGACGTAAGCGATTGAAGTCTTCAGAAGGCAGCCTGCGGAAGAGTGGCGAAGCTGGCGCAATGGCTTCGTCAGGTTTGGGATCCCGCACCAGAGTCTCGCGAAAGAAACTCTTCACCAGGTTATGATATTGACATACAAACAGGTGGCCCCACATCAAAGAGATGGCTGACGGCGCAGCGGGGACGACGCGACGACGGTCAATGGAGCTTGAAAACTGCGATGGACCGATTTGTTAACCGCATTGACGTGTGGGGTTTTTGTTTTTAGTGTTGTATCTATCTGCTCTCCTCTTCTCCGCCTCTCTCCTCCTCCCGCCCCCCCAACTACCAACCACCAACCAACAACCAGGCCACCAACTTTGCATGGCAGGCACGGTACTTGGTGCTCTTCAAGGGGTTGGATGCCAGCACGTGCTGGCATCTTGTGGGCTCCGCCGCTCTGCCGGTGTGATTTGCGTGGCAGGCGCAGGGCTTGGTGCTCTCCAAGGGGTTGGATGCACGCCCTGGCGTCCTGTGGGCTCCCCGCGCAGCGCTTGGTGCTGTCCAAGGGGGTGGACGCGCGCCCGGGCATCCTGCGCTGCGCCGCTCTGCCGGTGTGATTTGTGTGGCAGGCGCAGCGCTTGGTGCTCTCCAAGGGTTACAATCTACGCCCTGGCGTCCTATCGGCTCGAGCTGCTTGGCAGGCGCAGCGCTTGGTGCTCTCCAAAACTGGATGCGCGCCCCAGCGTCCTGTGGGCCCCGCCACTCTGAAGGGGTTGGATGTACGCCCTGGCATCCTATGGGCCCCGCCGCTCTGCCGGTGTGATTTGTGTGGCAGGCGCAGCACTTATGGGGTCAGGCTTTGCTTCGGCAAAGATGCAGCTTCCTCTTCATCAGAAGCTGCCTCTGCTGCTTGCTGAACTTTCTCATCCAGTGTCATTTTGCACAACTTTTCCAAGTTGGTCTTGTTCAGCTTTGCCTTTCCCAAGGCCCCTGACCTTAAGCAATCCTTTTGGCTTGGCCTTCCCCAAGGCCTTTGGCTTGGCCTTTCCCAAGGCCTTGGCCTTGGCGTTTCCCAAGGCTTTCACTTCATAACTTTCATGGGGGCCATACCAACCTAACCAGCACACACTACCCTAAGCAGCACACTTGAACCAAAAGCCTGCAAAGACATCCATCAGGTTTTCCACACTACTTTACAAAGTTTTTACAAACATATTTACAAAAAGTTCAAGAATTTAGAACCTGATGAAACCTGATGAAATCTGATGAAACCTGATGAAAACCTGGGGAAATTGTATAATCATTTCGATTGATTAAATTTATCTTTTTTCAACACTTGCTCTCAATTCCAGCCCCTCCCATTTTAGGAGGAGCCTGCAGGCATGCAGGTTGAATTCTTTCTCTTGCTTGTTCTTTTCCAAGGATGGCTCTTCCCTTTCCCACGGGCTCTGCTTCTCCTTTCTTCAGGAGCTTTTTATTCCATTTTCCAAGGGCTTTGCTTCTCCTTTCTCAAGGAGGGCTTGTTGCCCTTTTCCAAGGGCTTTTCTGTTTTGCCTCTGCAAATTCTTTTGCAAGAAAATGGGAAGGGGCACTTGCCTTTTTCCAGGCTTCTGCAAGGAATCCTTTTCCTAGGATCAGGCCCACAAGCTTTCTTTTCCAAGAAAGGCTTCCACAGCATCAGCAAAGCTGTCAAAAACCAGGTGCTTGTTCATGCCATGGTGCTTCTCATGTAGTGTCCTGATGCAGTAGGGCTGGATGCCCCACACTGCGCATTCCCTGCAGATTGCATTGTTGTCATCAAAGATGGCAACTGCATCAAGTGCATATAGGCCACATCACACTTGCCACCTTTTCCAGTCATGTGCCAGACTACGTCAAGGCCCTGTGGCTTGTCCTTTTCCAAGGACTGGCGCACCTTCTTCATGTCAAGCAGGACAGCCTTCTTCCTGACTTCATTCTTGACATATGACAGAAGGTGCACCTCTGCTTTCCCAAGCAGGTCAACCAAGGCTTCGAAGTTGTGTTGTGGCACCTCGTCGTCCTTTTCCAAGGTGTTGTGCCAATCAACAACAACAATTGGCTTGGCCTTTCCCCAGGCCACTGCAGGTGCCTTTTCCAAGGCATCACTGGCCATCATCTTGCAGAGCTTGGAGCCTTTTTCCCGAAAGCATTGCGGAGCTGGAAGCTGAGAAGTGTCGACTGTGTAGTGCAACTTTAGTACGCGGAGTAGCTGTGGAGCTGGAAGCTGAGAACTGGCGAGTTTCTAGTACAACTTGAGTACGCGGAGCAATCTGTGGAGCTGGAAGCTGAGAACTGGCGACTTTGTAGGTACGCGGAGTAGCTGGGGAGCTGGAAGATGAGAACTGGCGACTTGGTAGTACAACTTTAGTACGCAGAGTAGCTGGGGAGTGGGAAGATTACCTAGATCATCGAACATCATGATGGGCACCTTTTATCTCTCCAATTTGGGCATGCTCTCCGCAACCGAGAATCTCCATGACCCGTTCACGTCACATGTTTCACATGTTCATGACGTCTTGTTCCAGGTTCAACCAAAGCATGAAGTGTGGACATCTAGCTGAAGCCACTAAGCTACTAGCTACTAGCAGGAAACCTACGTAACACTTCACACCGCACACTTGACAGATGACTCGCACTCTGACTTCCTACGTGATGAAAAATGCTTTCGGGCCACTCGTCGTCTAGTTTAAAGGCTCATGAGCTGCCTCAATTTGGGCTCTCTGCTCCACCAGCTTGACCTTCAGCTCTTGGAAGAGGTTGCCCCTTCTACCTCTGTGTTTGGGGTGAGCGCAGCCCTGAGCCCAAACTTTCCCTTTTTCACTTCCTTTTCCAAGGTTGAGCTGGAAACTTGTTCATCTGCTGAGACTTTCTTCTTCTTGGCCGTTTCGCTCTTGGACCTGCTGCTGGCCTGTTCCTTTTCCAAGGCTGCCTTGGCTTTTCCAAGGCCTCTTTCCTCAAAGTTTCCAGCTTCTCAGCAGCCTTCTTAGTTGCCTTTTCCAAGGCAGCCAAGTGCTTCTGCAAGGACTCTGGAGTGTCTGGCTCAGCCTTTTCCAAGGCATCCCATTGCTGCTGAGCCCTTGTTGCTTTCCTTCCAGGGGTAGTCCTGTTTTGACGGGCTTGCCCCTCTTGTTCCACTCTGCCATGGCTCTACAGCAGAACAGCTTTTCCAAGCCGGGCAGGGTGTGGTGTACGTCGTCTGAACATGTTCTGCAATTAAGTACACAGTATGCGCATGTGTGTATATATATAACATGTGTATCTTTGTGCTGCTGTGTTGCTACGCTTTTGGCGCTCTAATGCTGTTGGGGCGCTCTACTGCTGCCGTGGTGGTGCTCTATGCTGCTGTGGTGCTCTATGCTGCTGTGGTGTTACCTTAGCCCTAGCTGCCCTTTTCCAAAACAGCTGCAGGAAACATGCGTGCAACATCAAGACACATTTCTAAACGCGCATCAGTGCGTGGCCAAAAAGGCTGCTTGCTCACGCAGACCACACTGCCCCTTGTTCAACGCTTCAAAATTGGGCGCGCAAGGCCTTGCGCCCTCTGTATTGTACCAAGGGCAACCCTTTTTGGCAAGGCTTGTTGCCAAGGGTTTGCTCTTTCACCATCCTTTTCCAAGGAAAGGCTTTGTTTGCCTTTTCCAAGGAATTGTCCAGGCTTTTGCACTTGTATGTGTGGCAACGCTACCCTGCTGCCTGCACAGCTCCTCTCTCAGTTCCAATGCCTCCTTCTGATGATTTGGAGATGGGCAGGGCACCTTTTCTGTGTAACCTCAACAATCAACTTCAACTTTCCACCAATCTCTGTGCTGCCTGTGAGGTATGACCTCTCAGGCTTCTTGGCGCATGTCTTCTTAACCTTCCACCAAGCCGCCCTCCCACCCTTTTCCAAGGGTGGTGTAGCGGCCTTTTCCAAGGCTGTTGCACTGCTTGCCTTTCCCAAGGCTGCTTTGAGGCCAGGCCACCCTGCTACCTGGTCTTGCCCTGGCCACAGAGGAGGCAGGGGCAGGTTCCTTTCCCAAGGGTTCCTTTTCCAAGGGCTCCAAGGGCACAACCTTTGCAGCCTCTGGGCTGCCAAGCATTTTTGGGAAGCCACGCTTGTCGAGTGATATGTCACTCTCCTCTTCTTTCAGCTTCCTTTTGCAACCTTTCGCAAGGTCCTCAGCAGGATGCTCTTCCAAGCATTGGCTGCTTAGTGCAGAGGGCCTGCTTCCCTTTCTCAAGGGCTTTGCAAGAGGTTCCTTTTCCAAGGAAAGTTCCTTTTCCAAGGAAGGTTCCTTTTCCAAGGAAGGTTCCTTTTCCAAGGAAGGCTCATCCTTTTCCAAGGAAGCAGCACCCTTTGCCAAGGGCAGTGTCGCAGGCAGGTCCAGCATGTTCAAACGTTTTTTTGAACTGCTCATATTTTTCCCTGCTCAGCTTGGCTGCTGCATGCAACTGGGCATCATCCCTCTTGCGCTTTCTCAAATGTTTTCAAGTTTGCCCCTTCACCAGTGTGGGGTGTCTGGTTCAAACTTGGCTTCTGAGAGAGCAAGCTCAGAAGGGCTGTTCTCATGGGTTGGGTGTGCACTTCACCTGATGGCTCTATCCTCACCAGGGCTGACCACAGAGGCATAGTGTACACCAAGCCTCTTGGACATGGCGCTGGGGAGCGGCTTATATGCTCATACCCTCCAAGGTGCTCCACCTCGACCACTCATCCTTTTCCAAGGATTTGTAGTCAGGGGCAAGGGTAGGATGCTCTCTGAACATCAAGTGCTTGGAGCCCAAACTCTGCAATCCAGGAAGAACCCATGAAATTGGTGCGCGAAAATCAATCGCAAAATCAATTAGAAAATCAATTACAAAATCAATTAAGGCAACACTTCAAAATCAATGAAAATTTTGACTTCCAAATTAACAAAAAAATCAATTGTCCTGATTGATTTGCCTAATTGATTCTAATCAGTCAGAGGAAAATCAATTGCACTGATTGATTTTCAACTGATCCTAATCAATCAATGATTCTCAGGGATGCTTGCTCACTTGGCCGAGCC